GGGAATATTCGAAGAGGAAGTGGCCTTGGAGAGGGAGCAGGGAGGCTCCCTCCCATTACAGATAACAATAATCAGAGCTTACTTTTGTGGCCAGCACTCCATGAGACGCTCTTTATGGACGATTATAGAGAAAGCTAATAGGGATTGAGCACCCTCTAGGCCCCTGGCTCGCTAGGCAAGTGCTTGACGTGAACTCATTCATTTCCTCAAGCCCAGCACCCCGATCTGAGGTAGGGATGGCCACTGACAACAGCAACCAGGGCTCGGATTTTGTACTTGTCTTTGGCGTTAAGCAGGCTCAGGATTTTCGGGTTCTGTTACTGCCTGTTAGGACCTCAGGCATGTTCCAGATCCACACTCCCTGACTTCCGGATGTTACAGAGCAGGGACTGGCGGCCCACAGCCCTTGGGCCCGCTGCTCATTTTTGTCAGTGAAGTTTTATTGGGCGGGGGCCCTGGTGGCTCCGTTGGTTTCAGCATCGCCTTCTTGGTATCAGCTCCGGTCTTGATCTCAGGGTGGTGCGTTCCAGCCCCATGTTGGGTCCCTGCAGTCTACTTTAAAAAAATAAAAGAAGAAAGGAAGCAAAAGAAAAAGTTTTATTGGAGCTCAGCCCCTCGCTCATTGGCCGACTGTCAGCGGCTGCTCTCCTGTGACGATGGCCAAGTGAAGCAGCAGGAGACTGCAGAGCCCCTAAAGTGAAAGTTCTTCCCGCCTGGCCCTTTCCAGGCAGTTCGCTGGCTCCATTGTGTAGCACCCTGGTTATGAGGAGCGCCAGCGGTCAGGGTCAGACAGACGCGCTGTCTGCAGAGCTGTTCAACTGAGGGCAAGCTCTTCTTCCCTCTGGTCCTCAGTCTCCACATCCATGAGATGGGTCTGCTTAGACTTCTCAGCTCAGTGGGAGCCGTGAAGACCGACGGAGAAAGCACCCGTCACGCGCCTGGCCTGCGGCGAGTGGCCCGTAAATGCGGCCGTGACAGGTGATCACAGGACAGCCTCCTCCGGCTTGTTTTCCTGGGCCTCACGTTCTGGCCGGTCCTTCTTTCCATCAGGTTGGCGGCCGCCTCCGTGGGTGCTCCCAAGGGGCGTGGAGTCTGGTGGGGGAGACACGGCCTCTTCTCGCAGAACTGACCGGCCTGGGTGTTTCAGGGTGCGCCACCCAGGGAGGAAGTAGGGTCGGGGTTCAGGGCGGGGCGGAGGCTGGGGCGTTGCCTGGGAAAGCCGGTCCAGGCTTGAGTTTGGTGTGAGCGAAGGAGGAAGCCGTGCAGGGAACGGCGGCTGAGTTCCCCGGAAGGGAGCAGGCCGTCCACCAGGCGCCGTGTCGTCCTCTCCCCGGCCCACAGACGTGGGTCCAGCCACCCCGTTTTGTCAGTGAAAACAGGAAGTGAGAGGGAACACAGTTCGGAGAACAGCCTCACTCCTGACAGCAGCTGAGGGCTCAGGGGTTCCGTGAGTCCCTAGAAAGACGCATAGAACTCGCTGGAAGTCCTTGTACTCGTGGTGATGATTTATTACAGGGAAGGGACACGGATTCCAATCGGCCAAACCGAGGAAGTGTGTAGGGCAGAGTCCAGCGAAGTTCCGGACAGAGCTCTCGTCCTCTCCGCAGAGTCCCAGACGTGTTACGCTCTTGGAGTAGACGTGTCACACACAGAGATACACACACACACACACACACAGTGGTGCCAACCAGGGAAGATCGCCTGAGCCTCAGTGTTCAGAGTTTTTACTGGGGTTTCTGGGCTGAACTGTGTCCCCCCAAATTCATATGTCGAAGTCCTAGCCCCCAGGACCCTAGCATGTGACCTTATTTGGAAATGGGGTTCCTGCAGATGTGACGAGTTAACAAGAGGACATCCTAGGTGAGGTAATAATCCAGCATGGATTATTATGGATTATAATCCATGACCCAATATGCCTGGTGTCCTTAGGAAGAGGGGACATTTGGGCAGAGACTCACACGCAGGGAGAAGCCGTGTGAAGACGAAGGCAGAAATTGGGAGATGTGTCTGTAAGCCAAAGGACACCAAACTTTGTCCACGAACCACCAAGAGCAGGGGGAGAGGCATGAGACCCGGGCTCGCTCGCGACCTCAGAAGGAGCCAGCTCTGGCGGCCCGGTGCTCTCGATGTCTGGCCTCCAGACTGGGGGAGAGTGAGGTCCTGTGGTTGGATCCCCACAGTCTGTGGTCCTCTGTCATGGCAGGCCAAAGGCACAAACACATTGGGACTTGATTACAAAGGCACAGTTGACTGCCCATGAGGCACGTCTGTCTCCAGTCCCTCTGGGTGTCACTCCGAGTCTGCGTGGCTGGACTGTCCAGTGTGACGAGGGCCCAGAGGCGAACAAAGGCTCTCCTGCCAGCATGGCAGCCCAGGGGCTTGGCCATGGCCTCCTGGAAGCCGAGCACGAGGCTCCTGACCATGCAGAGCAAGCAGCTGGCCTGCATTAGAGCCAGTGGGCTCACCACTGTGCCTGCTGCTGCCGTGGCGGCTTTTCCGAGCGCACAGCCTGGGTCACGCTGCGGATGGGCCAAGAAATTGGCCTGATTCCATTGCTTTAGGTCACCTGATGGTCATGCTTTTGTAGATTCGAACAGGCTGTCTTTGACAGTCCAGGCATGAGCTGCCCATCAGAGGAGCACCCCTTCGGGGACCAAAGGTCACCCCGAGAAGCCCCCTGTGATTTTCCCACAGCACAGCGGGTACGGCCTTCCCACTGTGCACCTGCTGTCCCTTCCTCCTCCTGTGGTCGGGGGCGAGCTCTGTGGCCTACATCAGCTTCCAATTCCATATGACAAATTACCCTCAAACTCAGTGGCTTGAACATATATTATCTCCGTGTCTGTGGCTTGGGAATTCAGGAGCAACTGCGCTGGGGGCCTCTGGCTCAGGGTCTCTTGTGGGGCGACATTTAAGCGGTCAGCCAGAGCTGCTGTGTCGTCCGAATGCTTGGCTGGGCTGGAGGACTCCCTGTCCTGGTGGCTCCCTCACAGGGCTGCTGGCAGGAAGCCTCAGTCCCTCATCACACACCCCCACGCCCAGCTGCTTGCTGGTCCCGCAGCATGGTGGCTGGCTTCCCCCAGAGCCAGAGGGCAAGGAGGAAGCGTCAGTCTTTTGTGACCTTGTCTTGGAAGTCCCACGCCATGATTTCTGTCATATGCTGTGCGCAGGAATCCATGCTGAGACCATCTACACGGGAGGGGAGGCAAATCAGACTCCACATCTAGGAGACAAGCTTGAGAACCACGACCCCTCCCCCAGGGGCCATCAAGGAGCCGCAGGAATGACAATCACCCCATTCCCCAGCTCCTGCTGGGACAGGGACCCAGATACCTGAGCGAATGTCATCCCAGTCCAGGGCTCTTTGGGGTGAAGAACAAAGAGGTGTGGGGTCTGGAGGCAAGGATTTAACACCCAGTTCAGCAGTGCCCGAAGGTGTTTCTCATTTCCTGTTGACAGTCCACCGCTTGCCCTCTCCCAGGCACTGTGTGGGCCCAAGGGAGACCAATGAGTGAGACACTGGCCGCCCTCTGTAAAGGGAAACAGAATTAAGAACTAATGTTTTGCTACAGTGTGATCAGTGCTGGAGGAAGATGGATGAGTGAATCAGGGTGGATGGACAAAGGAGGGAGGGATCGCATTTGCTGGGACAGCTTCCCCGAAGGAGAGCCTATTTTGCTGGGCATTGAAGGCTAAGTAGGGGCCCATTGCCCTGGCAAAGGAAGAAAGAGCATTCCAGGCAGAGAGAGTAGCACGGGCAAAGGCCCGAAGGCATGGGGAACTCAGGGTTTTGGGAAACTGTGAGCAGTTTGGGGAGTGCGGGCAAGTGGCAAGGAATGAAACTGCAGGTAGTTTGGGCCAGATTGTGAAGGCTGGCGTGATTCATGATCAGCGTTTCCCAAAATGTATTTCATAATTCATGATTCTGTGAGATGTTAACAGGCATCCCTTCCAAAACAGACCCTGAGGTAACTTAAGTTCAGGAAGCCCAGGGTTAAGCTCTATGAAAGCTGCTTCCCTGTTGCAGGACTTCTCAGAGCCTTTAATTCTCCAACATGCATGAGGATCTCTAAGACAAGGATAGATTAGATGGGATCCAGTCAACACTCAGATATGTGGTATTCCCAAACTTGTGTGATCATGGAACCCCCTTCCTGAGGGAGTCTCAGGGGGCCAGCGTTCCGGGGAACACACTTTGGAGCCACCGCTTATAGCTGAGTGGGCAGGAGGAAGTGAGGGTCCCACAGGTATGTGGTATGATCAGGTTTGCAGTTTCCTGCGGAGAGACTGTTTAGGGGCGTGGGAAGGGAGAGAGAAGGAGAGCAGAGATGCTGAGGGATGGCACCCGCGGGCTTGTCCCAGGTTAGGATGGCTCGGGGGTCGTAGGGTGAAGTAGAAAAGGGAGGCCTTGCGGCGGACACTCTGCTTTCTAGCGCATCGTGTTCCCCTGACTCAGGGAAGAATGGAGCGAGGCGTGTGGTGCGGGTCAGCGGGTGCCTTTCTGTCAGCTGGAGGTCTGTAACGGGGCGTGGCCGGGTCCCCTGAACCTCACTTGGGCAGCCCCAGGACCACAGATTCACCAACGGGGAGGGAATGGGCAGATTCCCGGGAAAGCACAGCTCGCCCAGACTGACACAGGAGGACACAGAACACCTGACCAGCCCCCCTTGTGGTCGCAGACATGGGGAGAGGTACTGGCGGGCAGGCCCACGTTTAGAGCCCTGTTCTGGGCGCCCGCCGCTCTGGGGCCACGTTAGTGAACAAAGCCGTGAAACTCAGTGCTCTGCCTGAATGAGGTAGGCGTGGACAGGTCATCCTGTGGCCCGTGCCTCAGCGACCCCTTGTGTGCAAAGCGGGAGCCAGCAGACCTCCCGGTCCTTCGAGAGGAGCGGCGCTGAGGGAGGGAGGCAGGCCACCCGCCCCGCCAGTCCCCAGCGCCCGCTGATGCTTGTCTCCCTGTTGTGTGTGTGCGTGTGTGTCCCATGGCCCGTCCCCCTCAGGCTTTAAAATGTGTGGCAGCAGCGGCGGGAGCAGCCGTGACGAGGCCCCCGTCCTGAGCGACAAGCACCTGGATGTACCCAACATCATCATCACGCCCCCGACCCCCACGGGCATGATGCTGCCGCGGGACTCCGGGCAGACAGGTGAGGCCGCCGGGCCGCCGCTGCCCAGCGTGTCTGGGGGCCTGGCTGGGGACAGCTCGCGGGGACCCCCCTCTTCGTGCTGGGGGGTCTGAGCTCACGTCCCCACCTGCCGGGGTGGGTTAAAAATTTATGCTCGGATCTGCGTCCGCTGCCCCGAGGGTCCCTCGCATGTGCCAGCCTCGGCGAGATGTGGCCTATCAAGTAATTCGCTCGACAGCCCCTGCCAGCAGCTGGGGCGCCTGATGGATGGGGCTGGGCGGGCCCAGCAAGGTAATGGATGGAGGTGCCTTCCCGGGCCAGCTGGGGACGGGGGCTCCGTCTTGCCGGCCACAGCAGCTCAGCTGGACAGGACAGCTCGGGAACACACCATGTCCGGGCCCAGCTGCTCCCCGGCCTTCGAGATGCTGCTCACGTCGGGGCGTGGGCAGGAGACAGACCGGTTCCCAGAGAGAGGCGCAGCCCCGGGCCCCAGCCTGGCGACACTGTGGACGCTGTTGGAGCCAGTGGGGTGACTTGTTTGTTCATCAGAGAGATTGATGGGGCCACGCCTGTGCTCAGTGCCGAGGCTGCCGCTGTGAGGAGTGAAAAGTACTGATGTTAGCGGTGGGCGGTTTCTCATTGAGTTCTCAGGGTAACTCCGGGCTAGGTCCCGTTTCCATCCCCGTTTTACAGGCGGGCAGAGTGAGGTTCAGAGAGGTGGAGACACTCGCCATATAGCTGGTCAGTGGCAGGGTTGGGAGTAAAGGCCGGCCATGTGATCTGGCGCTCGCCCTGTGGCGTCCTCCTGGCGCCCTCCCAGTGGCCAGCATCAGTCAACAACCAGCCAGGGTGGGGTAGACTCTTCTATAAGTCCTGACCTGCTCTACCAGGGCAGGTGATTGGGGAGAAGCCACTGGACCCCCTCGGGGCTGGGCCCTATGTAGGGACTGGTGCTGGGCCATTCTCAGTAATGACTCACCGTGGGTCACCTTCCTGTGTCACCTTCCCACGTGCCAGGTACCAGGCTGAAGACTTCTCACAATGTTTGTTCTCCTGCCAACACTGAGGGCTGTGAGTAATGCCCTTTTCTCTAGTTTACAGATGGGAACCCTGAGGTCCAGAGAGGGACAGTGACTCACCCAGGGGCACACAGCAAGGTGGGAGAAGAGCTGGTCTCTTGTTCCCGTGTCCAACTAGAGAGCTCAGTGCAGACAGCAGAGACTCAGGCCCTTTGCTCTGCCATTAGGCTCCCTGCCCTGCCAGCCTTGGTGTCCCCATCTGTAAAATGGGGTCATAACTACCTTCCTTGCCCCCAGGGCCAAGGTGAATGTGGGGAGACTTAGGGTTACTTTACTAGGTCAGAGTCCCTGAACTCAGAGGAATTCCAAAACCCCAGAAGGCCCCTTTGAGTGCAAGTAGCTCCAGGGCTGGGTCAGCGCAGAGAGCCTGTAGGGCCGTACCCTCCAGTCCTACCTGGCCGGGCCCCATCCCTCTGCCTTTCCCCTTTCAGAGAATGGAGGCATGGGACAAAGGGCGCAGACCTCGGGGTCAGAAGCCCTCACTTCGATCCCTGCTCTATGACGTAGCACCTAGTGACACTGAGCAAGAGGTACTATGTCCCTGAGGCTCGATTTTCCCATCTGTAAAATGGTGCCTCTGACAGGTTGGGAGGACCGGGGACAGGACAGACAGGGTCTGATGTCATGCCCTGCACAGAGGCTATGTTGTTCATGTTGTCACCAGTGGCATTTAGGGCAGGAGGAAACCACCAGACCTGGGTGACCCCTTATCCAGTGCTCCTGGCTCCAAGGGATTGTCAGAGACCTGGGCCTCCCCAGGCGGTGAGGGTTTGGGCCTCCCTGCCCGGCTTGGAGCAGGTCTCCGCACCCACCACTGGGCCTCAACTTCCCATCTCTAGGACAGGGGCATCGAGGTATGGACCTCCAGTGCAGCCCCGGTCTTGAAGGCACCTCCCTCCCAGGAGATGCTAAGCCAGGGATGGGGCCCAGGGGTACAATCCAAGGAACCTCGGCCAGGGCCGCGGGCGAGCTCTGCGTTGGGTGTGGGCTGAGGGTGCGTGGGGAGGACCCACGAGAGCCAGTGTCACGGGGTCGGCACCCTTACCTGCCTGTATGTGGGGGGAGCTCGAGGTGGTGGACAAAGCGGGGAGCCCAGAGGCTCTGGCCCTGGAGCTCTGTGGGGAAGGGAGCCGGAGGTGGTGAGTGCCCACCCAGATGCTGATTCCTCCTTTTCCTCCTAGTATGGCTGGAGGAGACGGGGTCGTCCCCAGAGGATGGAGAGATAGACCCCGAGGCCTGAGGAGGAGGCACAGGTCGGAGAGTGTCCTCACGCCCCGCTCCAGCCGCCCCAATCCACATGTCCCTGGGGCCGTGGCTGCCTGGGACCGATGCGCCGAGCCCACTGGACACTGGATGGGAGAATGAGGGATTCAGGAGCCCGACCGGTTGCGAGGTGGCAAATAGAGCACGGAATCCGCTGGCCCCAGGGCCATGTTTCCCAGGCCCCGCTGAGCGGACCAGACCAGACCCTTCACGCCGTGCGGTCATGGCAGCGGCTGCCCCGGGGGGCGGGGAGAGGCTTTCTTCTGGACAGAGTCCCCTCCCTGAGCCCTGGGCCACACCGACGGGTGTGCATGAGGCCAACACACACAAGAACTTGCCGAGCGGCCGCTCCATTTTTTACACGTTGTTTCACAGACTTCCAAGCCGTACAGAAGGTGATTCGTAATTCCTTTCTTGCGTTACGAATAAAGGTCGTCTGTCACCATCAGTGAACCCCACTTCTTGGGCCCGGCAGCGGCGATGGAGCGCACACAGGTGCAGAGGTGAAGAGAATCGCTTCCTGCAGAGGGAGGGGTGGGGCTGGCCGTTGGGGGGGGCTTCGGATAGTTGTGTCCCCCCCACTCCCGCCCCCAATTCGCACACGGCCACAGAAGCCTGTGGTCCAAGGCGTGGATTCTGAAGTCACGTGGGCTCGAGTCCCAGTTCCGTCCTCAACAGCTGTGGGATCCTAGTCATGATACATCTCTAGGACGGAGAGGCAGGGGGTCTGGGTTCAGTTTTGTCAAGAACATGAAACCACTGGTGTCCCGTTCCCCTTCTAGACGGTTCTGACGGTGGCCCCTGTGTCTGGCTTCCCTCAGAGGCTGTGTGGCTCCCCCTGAGTTGTCCCTTTCCCAAAGCAGCAGACCCTGGAGCAAAGGCTTATGGGGAAAGACTTTATCTGGAAGGTGATCCGGGGCCACACAGGGAGCAGGAGGGATCTGCGGTTCAGGAGGGACCCCAGGTCCACTCTTGGGTTCAGGAATTCACCAGAGGGACTCAGGACTCAGAAAAGCCACTCGGGCTGCTGTGTTTATGGTTTCCTACAGCGAAAGAATGTAGATGACAATCCTCAAAGGGCAGAGACGACAAGGGTAGGGCCCAGGAGAGAGCACACAGGGACGTCTCGCAGGCAGCATTTGGCTTTCCAGCCTCCGGGATGACGCACGCTCCGGGCAGCGCCAGCCAGGGCAGTGCCTTGAGGGTGGGGAGGGGGATCCGTGGTTTTCCCTGGGGGTTGGCCACGTAGACACGGCTGGCTGCCCACATGGTGACCTCAGTCCCCAACCCTTCTGTAAATCACACCATCAGCCTGTTCTGCGAGGTGGAGGCTCCAGGTAAACAAAGATAGTCTTATCAGGCAGGACATTCCTAGAGCCTTGAGGTCACCTAGCAGGAGCCCAGAGCAAAGGCCAAAACTCTCTGGGGGGGTCTGCTCGCTCCCTCTCCCCCCCCGCCCCTCCCCCAGTGCCTGCTCCCTCTAAATAAATAAATACATAAAATCTTTTAAAAAGCAAAGACAAGATTCCAGAAGGCAGTGACACCGTCGCATTGCCCGCATGTTCCCAGAGCTCACCCACGACAGGTGCACGAGGTTTCTGTGACTTCGCGCTGTTCTGAGCACATCGAACTCATAGGAGTCTCTTAGAGGAAACTCCTAGAGGTATTAGTCAACGTGCTTTTTTGCTTTGACATTGCTGTGTAACAAACAAGCCCCACTCGAGGCTGAATGTGTACCCACCCCCCACACTGGCATGTTGAGACCTAGTCCCCAGTGTGATGGGCGGGGGGAGCGGGGAGGTAACCAGGCCATGCGGCTGCAGCCCTCGGGAATGGAGTGGTGCCCTTACAAGAGAGACCTCCGAGACATCCCACCATGAGAGGTCATGGCCAGCTGCGTCCCGGGAAGAAGGCTGTCTCCAGACGCTGGAGTACTCGTGCCTCGATCTCAGACTTCCCAACCTCCGGAAACGTGAGAAAGAACATTTGTAGCAACCCAGAGAGACTCAGCGACACGTGCTCCCCAAACTCGGCTTAGGTTAGCGAACATCGATGGCCCGCGCCCTGGTGTTTGGGTGGGTGGCCGCGAGGAGCTGGGTTCACAGCGGCTTCGTGTGTCTCCTGTTGTGGCCAGCCCCTCCCCAGGGTGCTGTCCATGAGGGTGCTGTCCACACGAGTGTATTCACAGTTCCTGCTTATCACGTGGGGCCCTAGTCCCCCGCTTTGGGCACCAGGGGGTTGCTGGGCCTCAGGGCTGGGGCTGGGCATGAGCCCTGAAGACCGACTAGGTCCACAAGCCCGGGCGTGGCAGGAGCCCCACAGCTCCCCCCGGCACAGCTCGGAGACCTCCAGCCCACTCAGCAACCTGCTGTGGCTAATCCCGGCTTCATCCCAGGCTTTTAGTGCCCATGGCAACAGCAAGAGGGCTGCGAGCTAGAGCCCAGGCAGGAGGGGCTTGGTCAGAGGCCGCCCAGTCCCAGGAAGCTGGCTCCGGCTTTCTCGCAGGGCAGAGTGAGGTTCCTTGCTCTCACGGCGCCCAAGGTGTCCGTGCCAGTCCCTGGCTTTGTGCTTCTTGTAGCTAGGACCTCCTCCTCGGTGAAGCCAGCATCCTTAGTAACAGGAGAGAGACCTTTCCTGGGGACATCTGCATCCCCAAGCTGCAGCAAACACCATGACACGGCCCAGCACCCGTCCCTAAGCCTCTGCCTTCAAGCGTGCTCTGTGTCCCCACAAGGGAGGGCCGAGGCGGAGGGGGCTTGCTCAGTGCACGCTCTTGCCCTAGGAGGGCTTGCACGAAGGCAGCAGGCCCCCACTGCGGCTGTAGCATCCCCCATAGGAGCTGTCAGAAAGAAGGGGGGAGTGGGTACGAGCAAGGCTTTGGGGTCAGCAAGACTCACATTGTACTGTGTGACTTCGGAAAGTCACTCAACCTCTCTGAACCTTCTTTTCACCTGGAAAGTGCGGATAAGATGGGGAGATGAGGATTCAGTAAAACAGTCTCCGTAAAATCCCTCCTTGGCACCTGGCAGGGGTCAGACAGCCAGTCCGTGGTAGTCATTCCAATCAGGCTGGTCACCAACCCCTCTGGGCCTCCGTTCTCAGCTGGGGAGTGGAGACAATGCCCGGGGACCTGAGGATTACGTTGACACTGAAGGTATGAACGTGGAGTGGGCGGTGAGAGTGGGGTATCCAGAGCCATCCACCAGGGATATGTGTGGGGGAGCTAGGGAGCCCAGCGTGCACAACAAGCAACTGGGGCTTTCTTGGGAGTGGGAGCAGGCGGGCAGAGGACTCTCAAGGCCAGCTCGCCCTACCAGGGTACCCCCCCTTTGGATGGATGAGCACCCGCTACCTCCCCCTAGTGCCATGCACTCTGAGGAATGTTCCGGACTACACTAGTGCTTCTCACGCCTAAAGCTGCTCCCCGGTGGGCATCTGGTTCACACGCAGATTATGTTTTTGGAAGTCTGGGGCAGAGTCTGGGACTGACGGTGGATTCCTGCTTCCCAGCCTGAGCCCGGTCAGTCCCTGTGCCCCGTTTATCAGCAGGGGGCCTCGAACAGGTGCTCTGCGTCCCTGAGTCTCAGTTTCCTTGATCTCCAAGTGGGGATGATAACTAGGCTTTGGGGGAAGATTAAACGAGGGAACACGCCGAACCCAGACTAACATGTGGCATGGGACCCAGAGTCCTCCAGAATGTTTGCGGGGACGTTAGCACAGCCGCGTCGGAGAAGACCCACCAGGCCCCCCCATGCGGTCACAGCCACCTGCGTGGACTTGACCCTTCACGACGTAGCCCGGGGCGCAGGGAAGCAAGAGCGTCTGGTCCCGGCTCCCGGGCAGACCTCGCCGGCCACTCGCCGCTGACAAAACCCGCCGTGGTAGGAAAACAAGAAAGGAATTTATTTCAGTGAGGCCGACACCCAGAAGACAGGGGACTAGCAGCTCGAAGGCTGTCTCCAAAGTGCTGAAAATACTTCCAGTTTATCTAAGGAAAACATGGGGCAAAGGTCGGTGGGTGCGTGCTGGCCGGCAGTGAAGGTCAAATGCATTGTGGTCTCGGGTCAATCACGAGAGACCTCGCAGACGGAGGGCGGGCCTTATCGCTTGACGGGGGAGCGTCTGCTCCCATCACGGGATGCTGTGCCGGCAGGGTCTTCCACCGGAGCCCAGAGACGAGCTGGAGAGGAGAACCCAGACTAACACGCCGGAGGTCCGGGGCCCCCGGTTGACTCAGTCGCTGGAGCAGCAATTCCCGACCTTGGAGCTATGAGTTCAGGCCCCACGTTCAGTGTGGACATTACTTAAAAATAAAAACTTAAAAAATAAAAGTCTGCGGCCAGGATGGAGGCCGCCAAATTCCTTTTTCAATGAAAGGTCTTGGGGGGAGAGGGTGCTTATATAGGGGGTGGGGGTAGGGTGGGTGCCTCTTCAGGGCTGGTCTGGAATGATGACTTATGAGCCCAAAGCACGGCTCCCTGACTCCCCCTTCTTCAGTCCGCTCTTCCTTGAATACACCCTGGGAGAAACGGACACAGAGGTCTGCACTATATCTTTCATTTACTCTTAATGCCGAAGTCGTGCATACGATTAAAGGCAACCACAAAAGCGCGTTGTGAGTGACACCCCCTCTCCCCGACCCCCCCCCCCCGCCAAGTGTGGGTCTCGAGGTGTGGCTCGGAGCTGCTGGTCACTGGCGACGCGGAAGTAGACCAACCTTAGCAGGTCTGACCCCCGAGAAGGCCGGTTTGCCCCAGTCCTGGCGTGTCCCGGAGAAGCTCCCAGGTTCCAGGAGGCACGGGAGCGTTCCGGCCCACAAGACGAGGGATTCGTGCTGTGTGCCTCCAGCAGGGGAGGCTGGGAGGGGAGAAAAGTGTGAAAGCAGATGGAAATGTAATGTTTTAATGACAGCAGCAGATGGCAAAAAGACACAAGAGTGTATTCGCACCATGTCAGACCCATTTGAGATCACCCGCCTGGCTCCGCGGAGATGTGCGTGGGTGGCTGGTGGGAGGGCTGCCCCCACCCAACCCTGGAGCCCTGTGAGCTGCGGGGAGGGTCACACAGGCCTGCAGGAGGGGCGGCCGCCAGGAGCCACAGGTGGATGGGGAACTCCCTTGGCCACCTGGGGGCTGCCGGGCTTTTATGGGCCGTGGTGGACGTTTATGGGCTCTGGTTTCACACAGTCTCTACTCTGGGACCCCTGGGGCTGCCCGAGGCCAGGCCATGGCCAAGGCTCACCTGGGCTTCCGCTCACAGCCTTGTGCTGCTGGACCACAGCCCACGCCCACCGCGGCCACCAGAGTTCTTGTACCTAGAACGTGAGTCTATTCTTGTCACTCCCTGACCTGACCGGCATCCCCCAGAGGACCTCCCGTGGAGCTCACGATCCTGTTCACAGGCCCCGGAGAGCTGACCCCCCACCGGTCCTTCCCGCCTTGCTTGCCC